CAGCTAAAACACAGAGGACCAGATTTTGTTCTTCATTTGATCATATGTAAATTCAGATTAACCCATTAGGAGAGCTCTTCCAGGCTATGTTTGGAAGCACAGTGTGACTTGTGGAAACAGGAGGTTTTTGTCTTCTCACTTGGATTTTGATCAGTGAGGATTTCTTGAGAGGATGTAATTTTGACCAGTGTCCTCTAAGCAGCCAGTAGCCATCATGTTATGTTTTAAGTATTAGTGCCTGGTTCTCCATTTGGCCTTGGATGACTTGTGGAGGGGACGATGATGTTTTGATCTAAATCTTGAGCCTGTGTTTGAACTGAGTTAGCAAAGGACTTGGTGTTTTCACAGAAAACTGGTATGAGCCTGAAGACTTCTAAGCAAGTATTTATAAACTCATCTCTTCCCCAAAACAACTTGGTGCCCTCGTACATAATGCATCTGGCTTTAGGGGAGAGTAAGCTGCCAGCAAACCTGTAAATCTTTGCTATGCAGGACAGGTCACTGTTAGTCCTTAATCTGGATTTGGGCACTTCTGTGTTGTAGCCTTAGACCTCTGGCTGGTCCTTGCTCACTATGGAGCAGCCTTGTAGGGACCATGAGAGGCGCCTGTCCTGTGTATGCCAGGAGCACAACCCCTGTGGATGGAGGACCCAAAGGTTTTGATTCTTACAGCCTGAGAGTCCTGCAGTGTTTCCAGGCATTATATGCATTTACCAAGTTTACCCCTTGATAAACAGCTATTCAGCTGCTAGCAAACCTTGACTTAGTTGCTTCCATGGAAAAAAAAAATAAATCTGTAAGGTAGCTCCATTACATAATGGAGGTTACCTAGAGACACAGATACTCTGAAAGTTCCCTCTGTTCTTTTCTATTCCTGGGGACAATTATTTTCATTTTAAGAGCTTACTATCAATTCTGACCCATTTAAAATTCACCTGCCAATTGAATTGTATGACAGGACCTAGCTGACCTAGGAACAAAGCAAATGTTCGTATCTTCATAATGAACTGCCACGGACCGAGAGCCAAGAAGAAAAAAGGAAAAGAATGGAGCCAGCTCTATGAGAAATAAAAACTTTTTTTCACAAGGCAGGGAATAGGAGCTTTCTAACTAAAATATTGTAAGTGGTTTTGCTCTGCTATCTATTGGCAGCTTCATGTCCTTAAATTGTTGATTCTTTCATGAGAAAGGAAGTTTGTGAGTTGCTCTATGTTCATGCATAGGCCCCTTCCCTTCTTTAATAATTATTCTGCCAACCCAGTAAAGAGCGGAAGGCAGAGGAGGGAGAATGGGTCAGTCTGTGTGTTACCTGCTTCTGCTGGCCATGTGGATGACTGTCTATCAGAAGGGAAGCGCCTGCTGGCCAGTGGCCATAGTTTCAAGGACCAGAACTGTTCAACATACGGCTGTTTGGAGAAGCTTCTACCTTCTAAATTTTCCAGCTGCATTTGCTCCATAATTGATATGGCAGTTGGGGTGTGGGGGTTTTGTTAGCTTTTTGGGGGGCAGAGGGTGTGGTTGGTTTTAGACATCCGTCTTCATTAATAATTAATTTCATGATAAATTGCCACATGCATGCCCAAGGATACCTTTTAGGTGATTATCTGACCTGGGATTGAGCTGCTATTGACTTGGCAATAGGTTTAACTACATATTCGTTATTTTGCTTATTTTTTTTGCCCAGAACAGCCAAAGAAATACACGAGAAGTTAAGAATATCAAAGCCAGTGTGCAGTTATTTTCCCCCCCGCCCCTCCTCCATGCAGATGGACCCCTTCCATCTGTGTTCCTTTCCAGTTCCCCTCCCTTTCCTTTCCCAGAGAAATGTGCACGTAGACATAAACAGGGAAGTCACCCACTGATTAATGATATTGGGATTGAACTTCCCAATGCCAAGTACTATAGGACAGAGTCATTAGAACAAAATTATTTCTAACAGTAGTACCTTGTGATTCTTGACTTCTTTAGGCTTTCTGCGGGATTTGTTTTTCTTTATTCCCATCTTCTGCTTTTGGGAAAACAAGCACTTGGTAATGGAGAGATGAGATGAACCATATCACATAGCTTCTCCTTAACAGCTGTTCCTTCTGGCTGTTGCATAGTAGGGGATCGTGAAGATCTTTTTATGCCCTTTTTATTTTTCTTTTCAGAATGAAGATTTTAATTGATTCTGTGAAGTCTTGCCTCTATTTGTCAGTTTGCAGGAAACCCTTGGTGTTTTTATACATGAATTCCAGTTGGTACTAAAGTCAGTCACGTTCTTGCCGCTGGCTTACAGGCAGGGCCAGGTTAATTTTTTACACTGTGTCATAGCCCTGTTCGACTCCCAGCCAGTTAGAAGTGTCTTCGGTTTGTGCATGTGAAGGAAGAGCATCTTCTTCCTGTGGTGTGAAGCAGGATCTCTAGGAAAAATCCTTACCTCTCCCCTCTCAAAAAAATCAGAGGGGGCTGTGGCCTGCAGGGAAGTTACAGCTAAGCCTAGTGCTCTTCCATCTTCCTGCTTGGCTTTGATTATTGTACATTTTTAAGGCCCGACAGAGAAGTGAGGGACTCCGTATTGTTTTCATGTACTGACTTGCAGAGGGAATGTGCAACAGAGGTGCCTCCTGCCTCCAGTGTGAGAATGAAGGACTCTCCACCATAGGAAGAAGAGGTGATTCTTCTGGTTAGACTTCTTCCACGTCCCTGTATTGCATGCCACTGAGTGTTTAATTACTGCGTTGCTGTGACTTAAGGTCCAGCTGCCAGTGCACACTTGGCCACCTGGAATATGACTCTGAAAGCAGATTTTATTTTATTCTTGCATTCAAGCAATACTGAAACCATTATTTTTTTTCAGTTCGAGTGCTTCAGTAACTTTATGAAGGACTAGCTAATTATTGAAGGATAGCATGTTTTCTCCTCAGAACTACAGACACTTCAGGTTTTATGGTCTGAGGCTGTTGAACAGGCAAGTGGGAAAGTGCGCAGAACCTCAAACTCTTAAATGCCTGTAATTCAGAGTGAAGGAGCTAGGAAAAAATCTAAGGAAACCACAGGTTGTGAATTCAGTAGTAAACTGCCAGCCTTTAGCAGTTGTTTCTGCATATATGATTGCTGAAGGGATGGGCATAGGGCTGTGTTTAAGTCCTGCTGTGGTTTTACTGAAGTTGGAGTTAGGGTGGATGTGTATCAGGTTTAAGGAGTCTGGTGGGAATTACTGTTCCTCAGGCTGCCTTTTCTATTCTGAGTTGATCACTGTTCAGTGCTATTGAGCTCTGAATATTGCCTGCTCATAGTGGCTGCTCCTGCAGTAAAGCATTTCTGAATGCAGGTTGATCTTTGGAGCTGTTTCAAGCTGCTTCTCCCATATTCTAGGCAGCCAGAAAGTTTCACAGAGTCTCACTTCGCTTGGCTGGCCAGGAGCTGCAGCAGAGCACAGTAGGGCACTTGGCTGCATCTGGTTGGGAGCTTTCCATTTAGACTTAGTTCTGCTGTAAAGTGAAGTGTCTCATGAAACCAGGCATAAGTGTGAGATGCGGCCAGACTGTATTGGTTGAGCTAAAACTTCTAACTTGATTTTAAATGGGAAGGGAGGGAGAAGAAGGAGACATTGTTTATGAGATTGAAAGACTGAGGGAAGTTCTGAGATTTATAACCTCAGTCAACTGCCAGACTGATGCAAAGATGAAAAGGTGGTGAAAGTTATTGGCAGGTTTTGACTATCCCACTGACCTAGATATTGAGATATCTTTCTCATTCTTAACACCCCACTGTTGCTCTTGAAGGATCCAGTTTAGCATGCTCCCACCAAAATGCAGGGCTTTGGTTTTTTGGATTTGGGGTTTTTTTTGTTGTTGTTACAGTCTGCCTGAAGATGGGACAGCAGGGTGAGGAAGGAGTTTGGTTAGAACTCTCTTGGCTTTTGCTGGTCATGAGAAGCCTCAGGTGAAGTTACCTCCTGATGGAAGCCTAAAATTGAGGGCGCCACCAGTCTCCTCCTACAAATCTGGTTCTAACTGTTCTGGTTGTAAAGTGTTTGGGACTTTCCAGTGAAAAGTATTCTGACAGGATAAAAAATTTAGTATGTTACTCAGCTTTAATGGGCACTGCAGCTTTCAGTGTTTCCCACCCCTCCCTTGTTCTCCTATTTCAGTCTCTGAGCTTGTAATGCATCTTAAAATCCTTAGTTGTGCTGCCTAAGTCCTTATAGTTACACTTGCTGAAGCTATTTGCTAACTTAATTTTTCAGGCCAGTAACGTAAATACCACTGTGCTTGGTTTATCAGTGTTTTTGCAGAACAGTGTGTGCATCCAGAGCATTTCTTTAACACTCTGAGTTTTAAGAGTGCTTCACATCAGTGCCAAAGACAAAAGAAGGTGTATTTCTTTTCTTCTTCTTCCTTTTTTTAGCAGTTGTCAGATACAAAACAATTGAAATGCACAGCTCCAGGGTTGTTTGTAACGGGGCATCTCTTGGCACCCAGAGTTGCCTGGCTTTCTTACACGTAAAGTTTTGCCCCAACATCGGGATTTATTTAGAGTTGATATCCGGGACAAGAAGCAGTCAAAAAGTGATGTTTCCTAGGGAATGAGAAGCCCTTGCCTGGCACTGATGAATTACAAGGCTGAACTTTTTTTTATGTGCGTGTCTCCTCCTTTTTGCTTCATTTTGTTGCTGCCTCCAGTAACATTTTTCCTGACTATAGTACCATTGACTCCTGTGATAGTTTAATAGTTTCTGCTGTTTACACAGTTGTCATTTAAATTGTTGTGATTTAAATTTGCATGCAGGGTTGTTAAGCGCTGGATTTACCGTGGTACCCCTAAAGTAATTTGTATTCTGGTCGCTGAGTTGTCTTGGTAACACTTAGGTGACTGGAAACCATTTGCAGAAAGGAAGTTTAATTCTGATATTGCTCACCGGTCCCAATTCTGGTGGTCCCAGGCTGGATGGTATTTAGTAGTTACAAAACTTTTTAACTTTACCTTGTAGCCATCGTTTTCATACAGGGTCTTACCTGTGCTGCTATTTAGAGGAGAGTTTGGAGGAACATATGAAAATGCTTTATCTGCTTGTTCCTTAATTTCTGACATGCTGAGCTTGGGGATGCTGTCCCTCCTGCTGGAGGCAGAATTCTCACCCCTGAATCTCACTTTTGGGTTCTGATGCTACTTTTTAGTTTCTGGAGGATACTGATTAGCCAGGGGCTGCAGATCATTTGCTGTACTGCAGTGGTAGCCATGTAGTACTGCCAGTATATGTGGTATAACAGACCTAAAAGATAACTTAAGAAAAAAATCCTATTGAATTAAAATTGTACACATAGATTATTGGGTTTAGTGTATGTTAATGCTGGGGATCCAGAAAATAACTGAAGAATTGCAAGTTTAGGACTCCCTACTCAAATAGCTAGGCTTTTACAATCTTCTCTTCTGAACAGTCTAAAAGATATTGCTGACTTTCTTGTTAAAAAGCATCTGCCATTTCATTCTGGCTACCCTGGATAGAAAATTTGGTACTTTATCGCTTACAGGGACCCAGTACAGAACGTGCAATGCTGGAAAAGAGAAAACATAATAGAACAGTCACCTCGCAGACAATTTAGTCATCACTGATCTCCTATAAATCCATTTGTAGCTGTTCTTGTGAAAACCACAGTGACAAAAGACTTAATTGGGAGCCAATTATTGATACAAACTCTTGTGTTTCTGGGCTTGTGGTGAAAAATACCTCCTCTGTAGTACATTTAAATCTGGAATTAAATAATGCCAATGCACTACTGCAATAGGTCTTGGTGAAAGAGGCTTTTGGAGCTAACCTGAATTGGAGTAGCTGCAGTGACTTCAGAGCAGATAAGCAATTTCTCACGCCAGCTGAGGGCATGGTTGCAGGCAGGTAGGGTATTTGGAATTACAGACTGAAATCTGCGGACCTGATTCTGCATCATGCAAGTAATGCTTTCTCTGATTTTTTTTTTTTCTTTTTCTTTCCTATTGTGAATGAACCACAGGAGAATAAGGCCAAAATCCATTTTCGTATTGCTGGAAGAAAGCTATTAGACTTTGATAGCAGCTTATTTTCAGAGAGTTTTTTCCTTTTTATGTCTCATTTAAAAATGGTTTCCATAGGTTTTACATAGGTAAGTTACTGGCCTCATGAAAAAAAACAACTGAGAAACACATAGAAGAAAAAAAAGTAATAATCCTTGGGAGGATTATATATGTGGATGTCTTGGGCTTATGGTACCTGATCTTTCAGCAGTGCTCATGTGGGACTCCTTAAGCAGTAAAAAGTTCACAGTTCCATAGAACTTTATTTTCCCTTTATTCTTATAAAACACCTTTGGAAATCAGTTCAAAGACACAGTAGACTTTGTTATACTTGTCAGTCATACCTTCTAATGTATGTTTTAAAATGCTTTTTTCTTACGAAGTCAAGGGAATTGCTGATGAGCGTGACTACTTAATAATGGAGTAAAAAAAGAAAAACTTATTCTGAAAGTAGATATCTGTCTGTAGCTGATGCTGCTGTACGAGCGACATGGGGATTGCTTATTCAGTAAGATAAACTACACATCCTCTGGGTTTGCTTTTGGCTGTGGATCACCTCGTTACTGATGTTTTGCCACAAAGCAAACAGATGGACTGCAGCATAGGACCGAAGGCAGGATGCTCCATCCACCTAGCCTGGTTGCATTTGGCTGGAAGGAGGTTGGTTTTCTAAATCAGAGGAAACTCTTAATTCATCAACATCTTGCACAAAGTGGGGGGGTTGTTTGTGTTTAGTGGCAGCAGGCAAATTGGTTTTTCTTTGTCTTGGCCTTCCCACACTATTGCCTTGCAACTCCTCCACCTCCAGTGAGAGACTTCTGGTTCCTTTGTTGCCTCCTGCTCATTTCCATGGCAGCCGATCTCACCGTGGCAGGCCCCGGCCAAATGGCACCGTGTGGACGGAAACGGCTGAGTGTGGGAGCAGAGGAGTGCAAGGGCAAGAACAGAGCCTGTTGCCAGGACTGACCATACATAATTGCATAAATTCCATCAAGTGCATCCCATGGTTTCAAGCCCCTGGAAGCTGTAAATAACGTGCTTTAATTAGTGGGTTGCCAGGAGCTTTAAAGGAAATCAAATTGGACTGGGGGCTGCAGAATTTGGCAGCTGTAGTGACTAGAGTGGTACGTATGGTTTGACTAACTGCTGGTTCATTTTATTTTAATTAAATTACTTGCAGAGCTGAAAGCTCCTGCCATCCTCACCTGGGTACCATTGAAATCCACGAGGTATGGAGCTGGGGAATTAGGCCGAACTGGTTGACAATGACAGCAGAGGAAACTTCGTCTGAAGACTGTGTGCAGGGCTGTTACTTCAAAGTCATACGAATCGCAGCATCTCCTGTATCGTATTTTTTGTGTGATCCTTGTTTTTTGGGGTTTACATTTTCTGTGCACCCAGTGCAATTGGTGGTGAACAAGAAGCCTTTCGTTCCTGCCCCGTGTTAGCTGAGCTTTAGGGCTGGTAGGTTAGAAGCGTCAGAGGAGCAGTTGCTCTTTGCAAATCTATAAAGTACTTTGGAGTGAGGTGTCCTGTAGCTGCACTGTACAAGTGATTCTTATGGCATTTGGTAATTCATTTGGCTGCAGAAATGAGCAAAGTGAGCAGTATAAGGGCAACAGAAGATGTGTTTTTAATGCCCTTCCCTGGCAGCATCTCCCAGCACAACCAGGGTTAGAGACCAGCAGTCTCCTTTTGCCTCAGTTTCCCTCCATGTGCAGTGAGGTTAATGGTGCCTACCCTGTGGCATGGGGATGTGGTGGAATGGTGGTGTCTGAAAGATGGGAGCTATGACAGCAGAGGTAGGAGCACACAGGTACTTCAGACAGGTAGATAAAAGGGTAATGTTCATCCCTGGTGTGGTCCAACTTATCAACCCTCTGCCTGCTGCTCCCACCATGACCTCAGCTCACAGCAACTTGAGAGTAAGGGGAAATGTGCCCACTAAAAATGTTGACATGGTTCCACCATCTGCTTCTACTGTATTAACTTTCCTGACTAATTGCATGTGTGATGCTGTGCCACATGGTAGCTTTGTTCTTTACATAAAAAGACAAAGCCTCTTTGTGTTTCCTGTGGACCTTTGAACCACCCTTGCCATTGAAGGCCCTGTCAGTGTGATACAGTAGCTGTTGATGTCTTCTTGCCTTGATGATTAGAGAGCTCGGAGTAAGTAAGCTTGGTCATACTTGTTAATAGGTTAAAGGGCATTGTTGCATGCATCATAATTTCCATGTTGTGCCTATTCATTTCCCATCCCCAGGGTACTGGTATTTAATATTGCAATGCACAAAAGCATTTGACAACACACGATGGTGGGTGAAGAGGTTTGTGCTTGAATGAAGGAACTGCATGACCGATGCCTAACTCTTAACCTGACCACTTCCTTAATGTAATGCAAGAGCCCATCCGCTCGTGCTTCCTGGCAGAATATTAATAGACGTTTGTTTGGCACTGTTCCGCCGTAACAGACTTGGATCAGAGGATAAACCTGCTGTTCAGTCTGAAATGATGCTGGCTTTGGAGACGTTTTTGAAAATGCTTTTGTGTGCAATCCCTTACAATTCCCAGAGCTCTAATTCAGTGGTCTTAAAAAGCAAGACTCCTGGCAAATTAGTCATTGGATGCAATTCATGTCTTCTTTACAGAGCAGCTAACAGAGCTGCAGAAAAGATATCTTCACAGGTACATACATAATGACATCTATGGTGCTAGTCTGTCTGAAGATCATTAAGAACCAGGGTCTAATTTTTTTTTTTGTCATCTTGGATGTTCCTGATGTGTTGCTACCCAGTTGATTCAATGCAGGTTCCTATACCATACTTACTGGTATGACAAAATAATGCTTTTCAGTAGTGTATATGATGGTACAGGGGTTTGCTGTGTACATTTTTTCTTCTGTGGCATACCAATTATTACTTTCCATTTGCCATTTCTGGTTTTGGTGTCTGAAGCAATTAAAGAATTCAGGACAAGGAATGCATGGTCAAAAAAGGAAATTTTTTTTTTAATAATCCTAGAAATAAATTTTTACTCCAAAAAGTGCCATAGCTTTGCTAAAAACAAAGCAAATAGCAAAAGAGGTTAAAGCTGAAAATAGTGGATTAAGTCTTCAGAATAGTCCCCACTCCTTTCATTGCTATTGACCCTTCATTCTTCCAAGACTGTGCAATGGGCATTTTAACTGTAGTATTTTAGCCTCTCAGAAAAGTAAACTATGGCATGTGGGCATTTTTTTAACCGCATTTCTTGCATTTTTCACCCTACAACTTATTGATTAAATTGGGAACAGGAGAAAAAGAGCAAACATTGATCCAATATTAAGCAACTGGACCGTGTATAGAAGTGACATTAAATGTGGTGTTGCTTCTAATAAAAAATAAATAAATGTAGCAGAGCCAAGCAAAGTAACAGCTTCATTTCCATGATGTTAGCTACAAAACAGTGCTCAGGTGCGTACACATGTAATTCCCTAATTGGGAGCATAGACCCATTGTACACAGAACCAGCAATACTTTCTCAGTCATCCCAGATCTGTTAATGCCTCTCTTGTCCCCTCTCCCTGTTCCCTACCAACAGAAGGCATCCTTTTGCCACTGAGAGCACTGAGTCTTCAAGTATGTGATTTAGGACATTGGACTTGAGTCTTGAAGAGTCTTTGCCTTTTCTTTTCTTTTTTCCTTTTCTTTGGGTTTTTATACATTGTGAGTTTTGCACTGAGTTCTGCTGGGTTTCCAGTGTGTCGTTAGTTTTGTGTAATTTATACTACAGGTCAGATAACCTGGGCTGTTAGCAACTAAGGGAGTTTCAGAAACTTGTAATTCTTGTTCATAGGAATGTCATGTGTATGTTTTACCACTCTTCCAAACACAAACTTGCATGTGTAAATACCAGGTTACTGTTTTTCCACACAGTTGTATTAACATTATGCAGCCTGGACCCACACCAAGTTCTGCAAAACAGGACTTAAATGGTATATATTTCTCTTCTGGGTCTTTTAAGGCTGAGTTGCAGAAGAAGCAACTTTGCCTGCAATTCTGGGA